CTAAAAGGTCACGTTGTTCGGAGCTGCCGTGCGGCCGCTCTTCATCAGTGGCACCGGAGCCGCCGTTTCAGGTCGCTTGTGCTGCCCGTACGCTTCCGCTACTGCGCTTGCTCCCTGGCTTTTGCACGTGCTTGGACTTCTACCCCTTCCCTTTTGAGTTTGACCTGGGTGATCCTTGCGGTTCAGGTCGGGTTGATTCAGGACAGGGCGGATAAGGAGTCCTTGGAATTTGGTGGGCACTTCAACCTAAGGTTCTTGGCCCGTTGCTTTTGCTTGTTGCACCCTTGTTTCCACCGCTAGTTGTCGAAGACCACATCATGGCCGATGAGGACAAGAATGGAGGGTCAGGAGCTTGGTCAAGAGTTCCTACCTGGGATGGCAACCCTCAGGGCTGGAGAGCCTTCATGAGGGAGATGCAATGGTGGATGTCAGCCCTCGACCTTGAGGGAACGAAGAAATACAACCTGGCTGCACGATGGTTGTTGAGGCAGAGCGGCATTGTCCGCCAACGTGGCGAAGAATTCTCGCCTGCTGACTTGGAGTATCAGCGAGAGATCACCGCCACTGACCCGGTGACTGAGGAAGTCGTTGTCATTACGCCTGAGGATCCGTTGGCTGGCTTGCACAAGTTGTTGCGTGCATTGGAGGGCATCAATGGCAAGACGGTCCTTGATAAGCGTGGTGACCTTCGCAATGCCTTCTACTTGGAGCTCCGTCGACGACCAGGTGAAAGGTTGGCAGAGTTCTGCACGAGGTTCAGGTCGGCAGTTGCTGATTTGAAGGCAGAGGGCGTGGTTTTGCCTTCCTCGGAGCTCGGCTGGTTTTTGAAGCAGAAGCTTGGATTGGACGCGATTCGAGTTCAGTTGCTTGAGACGGCATTGCAAGGTAAGGAGTCGTATGAGGAGACGGAGCTGGAGGTCCTTCGACTCTTCCGAGACCTTCATGCGGCTGATCCGCTTGTGAGAAAGGGTCCTCCGTCCGATGGTCACCGTAACCCCATCTTGAACAAGTTCATGTCCCAGCAACACCACCAGCAGTACAGGAATCCCTCGTCGAAGAGTTCGTATGCCCCCTCAACAGCTCCTTCAGGTTCATCGTTTGGTTCGAGCCGCATGAGCACTTCGTATCGGTCGGACAGGCCTTTCCCTCGAAAGCCACAGCAGCGTCAAGCTTTTGCTGCTGAGGTTGAAGAAGAAGAACCTCATGAGGAGACTCATGAGGATGAACCGGATGAGCAATACTCCCTGGAGGAGGTCTTGCAGGCTGAGGCTGAGATTCTGGCCACGGAGTTGGAGGAAGCCGTTGATGACGGCATTGGTCCTGACATCATTCAAGATGTCGAAGAGACCGTAGAATCGGCAGCGGAGGCTCTGTTGACTATGAGGGAGGCTCGGTCAAAGTTGGCTGAGGTTCGAAAAGATAGAGGCTATGGCAAGGCCTCGACTGGAGCTGACTCACCAAAAGGCAAGATGGCCAACAAGAAGAGCAAGCTTCCTTGTTTTGATTGCAACCAACTCGGCCACTGGGCCGGAGATCCTGAGTGCAAGAACCCCGGCGCTGGCCTTGGGCGTAAGAGTCCCAAGAAGCATCCGAAGTCGGTGAAGGTTGTCGAGACCATGAACACCGAGCATGTTGTTGCTGACCCCACACTTTTGCCAGCCGTCGATGGAAATGGAGCCCTTGCAGTGTCGTGTGTTTCCCGAAATTTGAAGTTGAGCGATGTTTTTCATGCCCCCAACTCCAAGGAGGTTCATGCCGTGCACACTGGCCTTACTGCAGACAAGCGTCTTGCGGGTGCTTTGGACAGTGCTTGCAACCGGACGGTCACGGGTTCAGAGTGGCTTCACAGTTTTCTTCGTTGTTTGGAGCATGCGCCCCAAGCTGTTCGAGATCTGGTGCAGTCGTCCCCTGAACATGAGGTGTTTCGTTTTGGAGATGGTGGAACTCAAGTTAGCTCAACCAGGTGGCGAATCCCCGTCATGCTGGGCGACACCGTCCTTTGCGTATGGGTTTCTGAAGTACCTGTTCCAAGCTTAGGTCTTCTTCTGGGCCGGGATTTCCTCGAATCGGTGGGGGCCAACATGTCCTTTGCCAACCGGGTGATCCAGTTTGAGTACTTGAAGTGCCATGCCCTTCCTTTGAAGCAACTTGCTGCAGGCCACTACATGCTGCGCCTGCTGCCGTCGCATTGGGCAGGTCTGGGCACCCAGAAGTGGAGGAGATTGGGCATTGATGGAGTTGTTGAACTTCAGATGTCAATGCAGGAATGGTTGAAAGTCAAGCTTGCTTCTTCTCATGCACGCAAACATGCACACCACGAGCACATGTTGACCGAACTCAGTGTGAAAGCCAGCCGTGTTGTGCATGGACTTGTTGAGCGTGGGTCTTTTGGTTCTTTGGGCTCAACGAGCACGGTTCAAGCCCCCATGCCTTTGTCTGGGCGAACCACTACCCCCTCAACATCGTCTACGACGTCCCCGTCTTCGAGCTCGATTACCAGTTCTTTGGCTGACCATGCTAGCTGCCAAAGCCGCTCACAGCGCCGGTCGCGAAGACAACGAGACTCGGCAGCATGTCAGGTGGACAAGAATGGTCGCACGCCTCGCTGCAAGACAAGCTTGGCACTTATGGGGTGTCTTCTTGTGGCTTGTGCGACGTCCTTCAATGCGGTTCGTGCCTCTCCCGTACCCATCGGTGTCCACCGTGAAACAATGGCGACTTCAGGGCAAGACCCAGGAAGAGAATGGCATCGTCCCAAAGGGTACCTTTCAGAAGGCCGAGCTGTGGCAAGCATGGACAGTCAGCAACATGAGCGATTGCATTTGGCTTCGCAATCGCATGGGCATTCGCTACGCGTTCCTGGAGGACCCCATTCTGATGGGCATGCTGGCTGCGAAGAGTGCAAAGGGCCTGACGGCTCGTGTGAAAAAGGAGTCTATTGCGGAGGCCGTGGAGAAAGCGCATCAGTCCCAGATGCAAGGCACTGCGGACCAAGAGGCTCGTGCTATGATTGGTCCCAGAGGTGGCCTTCCAACCCTTCGCTCAGATCTTCTTCGTTTGGCAGCGTTGCTTCATGTGCATATTGGAGAGAAGGACACCGTGCCGGTGATCAAGGAGAAGCTGAAGCCTATGGTGGAAGCGCTCAAGGGCCGCACTCCGGCTGCCGACAGCCGAGCTTCGTCCTCAACGGCACAGCCACCACCTGTGCGTCCTACAAGCGCACCAGTGCAGAAGCCCGCGGCGAAACCGCCACCGAGGGCCATTCAGTCCTTCACACCACAGCCTTGCGAGGTGCTTCATCAGACTCGATCCATGGCCGCCCTGGAACAGCTTCTGAAGCAGGTCAGCGCCGCCGTGGAGCAGATCAAGGACCAGCCCTACAGCATGCAGACTCAAGGAACGATGCCTCAGCAATACTCTCTCGAGCAGGCTTCCGACGTCTCCATGAACGACTTGGACGCAGAGGCTCAACGCCAGCTGATGGAGGACGCCGCCCTGAGCATGGAAGCCGTCTACGAGGAGAAGCTGGAGGCCCAGTATGGCGAATGGGGCATGCTGGAGCTGACGCCGGAGCAGAAGGAGCGAGTCCTGGACCCGTGAATGAATGGAAGCTTCAGCAAGATCTCAAGAGAGGTCAGGCTCTTCTGATCTCTCAGGCTTGGGAGAAACATCGTCGTGATCAGCTCTCGCGTTTTGGAGTTGAGACCGCCAAGATCAACCAAGCTCTCCAGACTGAATTTGAGAATGAGATGAACTCCTTTGTGAATGATGAGGTCTTTGTGCATGCGATTGACTTCACTACATGCTTGAAGCCGTCTTCAAGTGTTTCGCAGAGCACTTCTTCCTTGAGGGCCTCTACATCTCAAAGTTCGTCTTCCGCGTCACCCTTTGTCTCTGAGGTGTACACGAACACCCAACGAGTGATGCGGGAGGCAGCACGTCGTGGTCACAGAGTGGGCACGCCAATGAGTTTGGAGACTGGTTAGAACTTTCTGGACGCTGATCACCGTGAAGCAGCCAAAAGGCTTGTGAGAAAGGAGAAGCCTTACTTTTTGATGATTGCATTTCCGTGTGGGCCTTTCAGTCCGTTGTTGAGGCTGAACTCTTCCGTGAACCTGGAGGAGATCTTGGAGAAGGGCCGCATTTTGATGCGATTTGCTTTGGAGTTGGCAGCCATTCAACATGAAGCTGGTCGGCGCTACATCCTGGAGAACCCTCAACCAAGTGCCGCTTGGAAAGAACCTGACATGGTGAAGTTCTTGGACGAGTTTGAAGCCAAGGTTGCGAACTTTCACCAATGCCAATTTGGACTTCGCAGTCTTCGTGGTGGGCTTCACAGGAAAGCGACTCGTGTGGCATCTTCGAGCTTTCCGGTGGTTGCTTTGCTGGATGGGCGCGTGTGCGATCGCTCCCATGGTCATGACCCGGTCATTGGCGGCCGTGTGGTGACGGAACGGGCTGGGCACTATCCTGGACCTTTGGCACGCGCCTTTGTGGTTGGGATGGAGCGGCAGTTCAACAGCGAAGTGGCTCCTAGGGCTTCTGAAGTTCTGGCTGTGAGTCATGGTGAAGACGCTGATGAGGATGGAGAATCCAGTGGCATCTATTTCCCCGACAGTGAGACTGACGAGGAGGATGGCACGAAGACTCCGAATGCAAAGATTCCGGCTAGTGTGCGAGCTGCTATTGCTCGACTTCATGACAACACAGGACATCGCAGCAACAGGCGATTGGCTCGTGCCTTGGCGATCTCTGGAGCACCGGCAGCTGCCATTCAGGCTGCCAAGGAACATAAGTGCTCGATTTGCGCAGAGCGTGCTCCGCCCAAGTCACAACGTGTTGGTTCTTTGCCCCAGCCTCGTGATGTTTCCGACCAGGTGCACATTGATTTGTTGGAAGCTGAGGATTGCAAGGGCACCAAATACTACATCATCCATGCGACCGACTTCTGCACTCGCTTCCAGATGAGTGAGCTTTTGGAGAGAAAGACTGCAGGAGCGGTGGTGAATTTTTTGAAGACTCGATGGTGGCCAATTTTTGGACCTATGCGGACCTTGGTGGCTGATCAAGGCCGAGAGTTCATTTCGTGGGAGCTTCAAGATTTTTGTTCCCGCCACTCAGTGCTCCTTTGGCACATTGGAGTTGGCGCCCCATGGCAAAACGGCGTCGCAGAGCGCAGCGGAGGCATCCTGAAGACGATTCTGCAAGCTACAGTCATGGCGAACTCCGTGATTGGTGCTGAGGAGATGTCTCTGGCTCTTGGTGAGGCTACTATGGCATATAACCACGATGTGAATGAGACCGGCTGCAGTCCAGCTCAGGCCGCTTTGGGAAGACAACCTCGAGTCCCTGGAGATGTTTTGACTGACATTCAGTCGAGATTGGCTGAACACGACCTTTTGGACACCAAACCCGATCATGCCCGGCTGATGGCTCTTCGGGAGACAGCGAAGGTGAGCATGACTAGACTTCACTTCAGCCGTGGGTTGAGGCATGCCGAGATGGCACGGAGTCGAAACAGCACGATTGCAGATGTTCCTGAACCAGGCTCCATCGTCTACTTCTTCCGCTTCCAGAAGTATAACAACAAGAACACTGGCAGCAAGCGTCGCTTAGCTCTTCGCAAGTGGCATGGACCAGGTCTGTTGGTGGCTGTTGAACAAGGTTCTGAAGGTAACACTGGGGCGAACGCCTACATCTCCTTCAAGGGCCAGTTGACAAAGTGCAGCTTGGAGCATGTGAGAAGGGCGAGTCCTATGGAGCAAATTGTTGCTGGTGATTGGGAAGAAGCGATTCGTGAGGCAGTGGCTAGCGCCTTGCGTGACATGACCCGTAGTGGACTACCTGCTCGACCTCAAGAAGTACATGATCAACCAATCCCAGAGGAATCGGAGTGGCCTCCTGTTCCCATTAGCGAGAGCGAGAGTCCAAGCACGGAGAGTCCAGATGGTGAGCCACTTCCAGCTCATCCTGCCTTTCCCACCGTTGGTGAGACGCCGCCGGTGAAACCACGTGAACGTCAACCTTCCAGTGACTTGCCTCCTGTACATCCTCGTGAGATGGTGAATGCGTTGCAGTCAGGAACTGAGGCGAGTGTTTCGCGACTTCCCTCCCATTCTGGAGTGATGGCTTCGAGGTTGACGACCCCTATGACCAGGCAGAATACACCTATGGCAGCTCCACCCTTGTTTGCAGGTGCTTCTTCTAGTTCAGCTGGCGTGCTGGGTGCGCAGATTGAGCGTGCGCGACTGTTGGAGAAACGCCCTGCGGAGATGGAGACGGAAGAGCTTCGATCCCTGGCTTCTTCACAAGCAGCCTTTGAACAACCTGTTGGACAACCTGGAGGTGAATCTGAGCTGCATGACACGTTGGTGGTGAGCAAGGAAGATGTGATGTCAGTGCTTGAGCAGGGTGACAAAGTACATCCTCTCATCAAGCTCTACTGTGAAGCTTGCGTTGACAGGGCAAACCCTCTTGATGCTCAAGTACACGACCACGGCACCTGGGATGGAAGATGGGGTCTGCCATCTCGCAGTGAGTTTCTAGCTCGCAAGAAACTTGGTTTGATGTGGCCTTGCGGTGCTGATGAACTTCATGAGGCCAATGCAGTCCAGGCTGCTCGAAAAGAGTACTATTGGCGTGCCATGACGCCTGACCAGAAAGCTGCCTTTCGTGTCGCTGCTGAAGCAGGTTGGTCTGTTTGGGAGACAAACGAGGCGGTCGAGGTCCTGGACGACAAGACTTCTCAGCGCATCCGCGCTGACCTGAAGGCCAAGAAGGAGGACTGCAAGATTCTGACTCCCAGGTGGGTGTTCACAGACAAGCATGATGGCTTGCGCACGAAGGAGAACAATCTTGGGCTCAAGGCCAATGCTCGGTTGGTCGTTCCTGGGTTCAAGGATGTTTTGTCTTTCAGCCTGCGCAAAGATGCGCCCACAGCCTCGAGATTGAGCCAGCACCTTGTTTTCTCCTATGTCGCTTCCTACTTCAAGGACCATGGCTGGAGGTTGATGAGTTGTGACGTGAAGTCCGCCTTCCTGAAGGGTGATCCTTATATGGATGGCACTCGCGAGCTTTTCATTGAGAACACCAAGGGACTTCATGGTGAACCTCAGTTGCCTTTTGGTGCCAGTTGTTTGGCGCGTGTGAGAAAGGGTGTTTTTGGTTTGAGCGATGCTCCTCGGCAGTGGTATCTGCGGCTTCATCGTGCTCTGACTGAACTTGGTTGGGAGCGCAATGTGATGGACGCAGCATGCTGGATGTTGTGGGACGCTGAGCGCAAGACGCTTTTGGGCATTTGTTTGTCTCACGTGGACGACCTCTTGGTTGGCGGTGGTGAGACGGCACGCAACAGCATCCTCTCCTTAGAGAAGGTCTTGGGTTTTGGGTCGGTTGAGCACAATTCCTTCAACTACTGTGGCAAACGAATTTCTCAAGATTTGACTTCCGGTGTGGTCACCGTGACTATGAAGGAGTACCACGAGAATGTCCGCCCAGCAGTTGTGCCTCTTCATCGACGAGCTGATCCCAATGCCCTGCTGACAAGTTCTGAGCAAAAGCAATTGCGAGCGCTTTTGGGAAGCCTCCAGTGGCTTGTGGCACAGGCTCGCATAGACCAAGGTTTTGCATTGAGCACTCTACAAGGAGAACAACCTCAGACAGTTGGCACCTTGCTTCGTTGCAACTTGCTCCTAAAGCAAATGAAGCTGACCGCTAGCTTTGGCCTGACCTTTAGGCCGATGTGCTTGGAGGATGCGGGTGTGATGGTGATCACAGACTCATCCTTGGGGAATGTCACCAAGGAAGGCTCCACCATTGGCTCTGTGGAAAAGCGTGTCTTCAGCCAGAGCTCCTACATGGTCTTGTTGGCGGACAAGAAGTTGATGTCCGGTGAGGAGGGCCAGTTCTGTCTCTTGGATGGGCGAAGTCATCGCCTGAGCCGTGTGTGTCGCAGCACATACGCTGCGGAGCTGCTTGGGGCTGAGGAGGCCTTTGACTGTGGCCAGTTCATCCGCGGCGTGCTTGCTTCCTTTCGTGGTTTTCCCATGGAGAACCGCTTTGTGGAGAGCATCATGGACCTTGTTCCCCTCAGCGTGGTTGTGGACGCTAAGGATGTTCATGACAAGTGCAACAGTGATTCCACCTGCGGTGCGCAAAAGAGTTTAGCTTTTGCTGTTGCATGGATGAGGTCAGTCCTCCGACGTCCTCGAACGTCACTGAGGTGGACGGCGACAGAGAACATGATAGTGGATGGTGGGACGAAGTTCATGGACATGCATCACATGAGAACCATCCTGAACCGTGGCCGTTGGTCAGTGAAGTTCAATGTGGACTTCATCAAGGGTAAGAGCAAGGGCACGAAGGGGAAGCCTGCTGCCGCCTTGAGTGAGGGCAATCTGCCCGGTGAGCCGTTGCCTGTGAGCCATCCTGTTTTTCCGTATTTGCATCAGTTAGGTGATCGACCTGGCTGGCATTTCGATGGTGATTTGGCCATCAATGTGGCACGAGATGCCAAGTCTTTCCGCTCCCCTGCTCCTAGGTGCGATGTAAAGAAGTTTCATCTGCGCAGCACTTTTGGCCGATTTGATCACGAGGCCGGTGCATCAGAATGGAGAGCACTTGAGGAGGAGGTTGATTTGAATCAGCTAGCCAATTTGCAGCAGCTGATCGGAGCCACAGCAGCCATCCTTTGCACAATCTATCGTTCTCATCCAACAAAGAAAATAGAATCTACTGTTGAAGCTTGTGCCTTGGATGGAACGTGTTTGACCCCTGCTTCTG